TTTCTACGGAACCTTTTTTTAACACCGTTTGTGTTCCATCTTCTTCTAAACTCAGTTATGATCCAATTCCTGCCAAACTCACTCAAACAAAACTTCAGTCTGATATAAGCAGGAGATTTTGATAAAGATAAGGGAAGGGGAAAAAAATCATCAACACATTTGATTTCTAAGGAACAATTCTTTTGGTAAGGCAGTTCTAAAGACCAGCCAGCTATAGGACACCTGGATTATGCTTGGAGAGATGGATTCAGAAAAATCCAACCTGATCCTGAACTTTTTAATCCATAATATCCAGAATAAATAAAAAGCACTTGTGTACTTCTTGCAGCAGAAGATACCCAAATTATTGGAGCATTAGTTATTTAATTCCAGATTCCAACATGGCTTCAGTCCCAGCAGTTAAAGCCTCAGGCAGAATGAGTGTGACTCCCAGAGAAGCATCTGAATGATCAGACAGGAGGGTTTTCCTTAACATTCACCTGCTATACTGAACTAAAGGAGACTAAAAATACTTTGGGTAATTGGACTGCAGCCAAAGCACATGCCCCAGCTGCCCAGAGAGATGGGCCTCACTCCCAGCTTGAAAATTTCAAGTAAAGCACTCAGCCTCTCTCTCTCCTCCTCTGCTGCTTTAGGCTTCCAGGAGCTAGAAAGCAAACACCAGAGAACAACTGCCTCCTTTGCAGGAAAAGAGCTCACTTTGGGAGAGTCAGAACCAGGCTTTGGTGCATGATGGATGGCAGGCAAGTAAAAAGAGCAAAGTTTTCCCACAAAGAACATTTGAACTGCAGAAGTCGCTCGTGTGATGAAGCAGTCGCCATGAAATTGGACCCTCTCCAATATAAAACTGATTTCTTCACCCTGGATTTTTCTGACATTTTGCTATGACAATAGAACCATGTGAGTTTGTATTTTCATTTTGTACTTGTTAAGTGCTTTAAAGGTATTCTGAAATTCCATTGAAAGAAACTCAAAAATACTTCCACGTAATTCCTAAACACCCCAGGACCATAAATGGGTATTATTTTTAGAAAACAGAATGTATGCCAAAAAGCTTTAGATCAAAGTATCTTCCAGTAGTTTTATTCCAAATTTGGCCATGAAAAACTCCAACTTAAAAACCAAACCCATGTAATTTAGCCTTGACATTCAACTGTCTGATAACAGTCTTCTTTTAAGGGGGAGGAGAAAATTTGACCAAACTGAAGGTGACTCTGATTGAAATGACTACCACTAAAAAAAAAAATTATCTAATTTATTTTGGGAAAATGTGCCAGAGTGCTTGTTAAATTTTCAGCCAAAGACAACAAAGTAGACACACATTTATTTCGTTTAGATGCATGTTTCTTCCTTTTTTGCCCTACAGTTCTTTTCATAAGAACTACATGACACAGGCAGTATCAGCTTCCAGGGTCAGTAAGGGCTGCCTCAACCCCTCTGACAACATGCTTCAATGTTGAAGAAACCTTTTTTCATAGAATCAAAGAATGACAGAATAGTTTGGGAGGGAAGGGACCTTTGAAAGCCATCTAGTCCAACTCACATGCGATAAGCTGGGACATTTTTGGCTAGATCAGCACCTCATCCAACCTGATCTTGAAGATTCCAGGGGCATCTGCCACCTTTCTGGACAACCCACTTCAGTGTTTCACCACCCTCATCATAATTTTTTTCCCTAATATTATCTGATTTCACCTTTCTTCAGCTTAAATCCATTGCCCCTTGTGACCTTTGAAAGCCATCTAGTCCAACTCACATGCGATAAGCTGGGACATTTTTGACTAGATCAGCACCTCATCCGACCTGATCTTGAAGATTCCAGGGGCATCTGCCACCTTTCTGGACAACCCACTTCAGTGTTTCACCACCCTCATCATAGTTTTTTCCCTCATATTATCTGATTTGACCTTTCTTCAGCTTAAAACCATTGCCCCTTGACCTATCATTACAGTCCTGCTAAAATATCTGTTTCCCACCTTTCTTTTAAGCCCCCTTTCAGTACTGGAAGGCTGATGTGAAGAGCCTTTGTCCCTAGTTCTCTCAGACTGTCTCCACAGAAAGGTGTTCCAGCCCTTTAATCACTTTTGTGACTCATTCCAACAGACATTCCATGTCTTTCCTGCACTGGGCACCCCACAGGTGCAGGTGGGTTCTCACCTGAGCAGGGCAGAGGGGCAGGATCCCTCCTCCCTTGCTGTCCACCTTGTGGGATGAGCTCAGGACAGGTTTGGCTTTCTGGGCTGCCAGAGAACACGGCTGGGTCATGTCCAGCCTCTCACCCACCAGCAATTACCCACACCAGGGGTTGTGCAACCCAGCTGCAGGTTGCTGTGCATGAACTATTTATCACACTAGATTGCAGCAGTTTTTATTTGTGATGCCATTTTGATCACCACATTCCACTTCCTGACTGTAGATAAAGCCCACTGGCAGATCAGTGATCTTGCCTGAGAATATTAATGTATTTCTCTGTCAGCCTTCATGTTACTATCTATTCCTTGCTGAACAATTTCACACATTTCACAAAAGGCTTTTGATTGCTTAACAGAGAAGTTTTATCAAGACAAATGCAAATTACTATTTACAACACATTTTTGATTCTCATCTTGGCATCAAATAGTGTTTCTCTGTTGCTACTCATTTAAGACTTCACTTAGACCTCAGAAATGAGGATTCACCTTATAAATTAAGAGTATCCACTCTGAGTAAATCTTGCATTCCCTGTCTAGACTGTTGGAAGATGTTAGATTTCAGCATTCCCCTTATGCTGAGCAGATTGAGATTCCTACAGAAGACAGATGTTTGGAATTCTTGGACAACTGTATCTTGCCTAACAATACACCGAAGAATCACATTTCAGATGATGGTACTGCTTGTGTGACATCTCCACTTTTTTGCAATAACATGAAACGGAGACAAAACAGAAGAGGAAAGAAAATAGCATTTATTGTATAAAGAAACTTCAGTTCTGTTCCTGAAGCAAATTTTAAGGTATTCCTTTTTACAGAAGCTGGGTGTATTTAGTAGAAATTTAATCAGAACAGCAATTGGTTTAACCAGGAATATGCCCTTCTAGCCCAAGAATTGAGCTGATAAAGCAATTTCTGAATGACTTTGTTTATATATGCACAAGGCAGCTTCTTCTAATTTTACCAGGTTAATGACAAAATTAGATGCAGCCAAGCAGTTCATGTGTGCAGCTGTGCTGAATCTGACAAGCTTTACCAGAACAGTTATAAGAAATTGTTAACAAAATTTTCACACAGAGAAGTTTACCAGAGATAGAAAACTATCAGCATGAAAGCTGGGAATTGTTTATTTAAGAAATCCTGGACACTTGGACACAATGTCTCCTATGGAATTCAGGTTAACCCCTGAGCAACTGGTTATCTTTTTCTGTGTCATAAAATGTAGTTCTCAGAACATTTGCATGTAGCTTTTTGGAGCACCCATCCTTCAGCAACACATGACACCTTCAAACACAAAGTTTTGTTTTCAGGGTGCTTGAAACAGGATTTCTGTAAACGTACCTTGTGTTCTGTCTCACAACAATACACATTTTTTGCGTGTTGTGTATTATTTTTAAGGTGTTCAGACAAGTAAACATTTTAAAAATTTGTAATATTGTTGACTTAACTCTGAAAATTAATAACCACTATATTTTCCCCAATAATTGTAAACTTGCTAAAGACGTAGTCTAAGCATATTTTCACATTGACTTGGGCTAGGAATAGCCAGTTTTCAGGCACAATTTCACACATGTGTAACACAGTTCCATGCCACAATCCCCTTTTGTATGATTCATGTGATCTAGAATACACAATTATTCAGAAAAAAAACATCCAAAACCTTAAAAAACCATGGACAGGCAGCATGTGCTGGTGTTGCTTGATAACTAGCTGATTGTTAACTAGTCAACTGGCAGCTTCAAGTTAATCCATGACATCAAGCTACAAAAAAAATGAGACACCAAGTGAATACTCCAAGCATTGGTAACTGAACACTAAGTTTCAGTGTAATGTGTAGGGAATATGACTGCTAGTTTGTCCAAAGAGTTTGGGGTATTTTGTTTTAGTTCTTCTTAAGTGTTAAAGAAAATAGTAATTTTAGCTTTCAAGGTACAGCACATTTGCAATGAAGTTGGATTTCAAACTGAGTTCAATGCTTTTGGTCATCACCATGGAAATGTAACTACTCAGGCACAAGAAATTTCTTTGGTACTTTTATTTTTCTTTTCTCTAAGCACAGCATTGGTGACAGCTTTTCTAAATTTAGAGATGTACCTGGAACTAGAACTTTGTGTTTTCAAATCAGATCTCCCTCCACATTCTCTTTGGCATCCTGCACAAAGATTAACCTAACACCTCTTTGCTGAACAATGCTCTTCAAAGCAGTACTCTGAAGAAAATAGTCTAATTTTGTAAAAGTAGTTTATTCTAAAAATTGGCACATCAATGAAAAGATTCCCCTGAAAAGATTCTATTCTTATGTATTGTAACATCTTTAAAATGCCAAAGTTCTCAGTTATGAAGTGTATGCCACTTAGAACTGCTTCACATCTTGAGTAAAAAAAGACAACAAGCAGAAAGCAGCAAGATTTCAGCAAATGCTAATAAAAATTTCAGTGCTTCTGACATTAAAGAGTGGTTTAGGTTGGAACAGACCTTTAAGATCATCAAGTCAAGCATTAACCCAGCATGGCTAAGGCCAACACTAAACCATATCCCCATGCGCAATACCTACACGCTCTTTTAAATCCCTCTATGGACGTTTACTCCATCGCCTCCCTGGACAGCCTGTTCCAATGCTTTTCATCATTTCTGTGAAAAAATTATTCCTAATATCCAAATTAACCCTCCTCTGCTGCAGCCTGAGGCCGTTCCCTCTCCTCCTGTCCCTGGGAGCACAGCCCGGCTATCCCCTCCTGGCAGGAGCTGTGCAGAGCCACAGGGTCCCCCTGAGCCTCCTTTGCTCCAGGCTCAGCCCCTTCCCAGCTCCCTCAGCCTCTCCCGGGGCTCCATTCCCTTCCCAGCTCCGTTCCCTTCCCTGGCCACGCTCCAGCCCCTCCATTCCCCGTGTGAGGGCCCAGAGGTGACCCAGCACTGGAGCTGTGGCCTCAGCAGGGCCAGCACAGGGCCGGGCACTGCCCCGCTCCCACTGCCACCCACGGCTGGCACAGCCCAGGGGCCATCGGCTCTTGGCCGCCTGGGCACCCCTGGGCTCTGTCCGGCTGCTGCCACAGCCCCCCAGGGCCTGTCCCAGCCCCTTTCCCCCATCCCGGAGCTGCAGGGGTTGTTGTGATCCGAGGGCAGGACCCAGCACTTCCCCTGGCTGTCCCTCATCCCATGGATCCAGCCTGTGCAGAGCCTCTGCAGAGCCCTGCTGCCCTCCAGCAGATCCACATCCCCCCCAGCCTGGTGCTGTCAGGAACCGACTGAGGGGCCCTCGATCCCCTCGTGCAGCCTTTGCTGAGGATGCCGCACAGGCCTGGCCCCAGCCCTCATCCCATGGGAACGCCCTGGTGCCAGCCCAGCTGGGTGTCCCTCCATGTCCCACCCTGCCCTCAGCCCGTTCCTGCCCCGGAGCACAGGGCCCTGTCCATGAGCAGCCAGGTCCTCCAGGAGATGCTGTGGGAGAAGTGTCAAAGGCTCTGTGCAGTCCGGGCAGACACATCCACAGCCTTTCCCTCAGCCCTGAGCAGGTCACCGTGGCCCAGGAGGAGATCAGGTGTGTCAGGCAGGACCTGCCTCTCCTCAACCCAGAGAGGCCAGGCCTGATCTCCTGCTAGTCCTGCTCCTGATGGTTCTCAAGGTGTCCTGCTCCATGGCCTCCCTGGCACTGAGGGGACATGACAGGCCTGTAATTCCCTGGATCCTCCTCCTGACCATTCCTGCAGACGCATGTCACATTTGCCACCTCCAGTTAACTGGGAACTCCCCAGTTTGCCTGGACTGCTGGTAAATGATTGGAAGTGGCCCAGCGAGCTCTCTGCCAGCTCCCTCAGCACCCCTGGCTGGATCCCATCCCACGACTTGGGAGTGTCCGGGTGTTCTAGCAGCTCACTGACCATTCCCTCATGGATTATGGGGGTAACACTCTGCTCCCATCCCTGTGCTGCAGCTCAGGGTGCTGACTAAACAAGGCAAATGTACTGTCCAGTATTCTTCCTAATGGAGTTTGTCCTTGAAAAGAAATAAGTGCATATGCTTGGGAAAAAAATGCAGGCAAAGATGTCTAGACGCAAATGAAACACAAGATAACTACAAACCACTTGTAAAACACTAGTGTGGCAAAAAACACCTACATCTCAAATGTTTGCAAATAAAAGAGTCCAAGCAAGCCAACAACAAAAATACTGATGTGTTTCTACTTGCTAACTAACTAAGATTTGTTAAAGTGCCAGATAATGTACTTTCATTTTAAAACACTTAAAAATATTTTAAAATATTTACTTTAAGAAACGAAGAAAATCTAGACCAATGCAATGTGAATTACAACAATATTTCAGTTACTTTTCTAGTTAAAGGCATTAAATCGGTACATTTTTATGATTTTACAGAGTGCAATGTGATTAAGCCTTACTTAATGACTTTCTTATTTGGGACGTGCTACAGTGAACACCTGACAGTACAAATCAGTGTTATCAAAATGACACATAAGAACTGGGGGATAGGAAGACATGAAAGTGATACTGTAGGAAAAAAAATGTGATTGTCACATTTGTGAAAATATCTTTTTAACATATAAGTATCTGAAGTTGTCGTAAGTACAAAAATTAGTAAACTTTTAACCACTATAAAAATTCATAGTTTTAACTCACAAATCCAACATGTGCATTTACACACAACTTACATAACACATCCCAAAAAGGCAAAGCACAACACAGCCCTGTTTTCCTTTCCTCAGAGAAGCTTCTCAGCCAGCCTAATCTGGAAGACACACATCTTCATGACCATCACAAGGATTTCAAGTCACTTATTCTGTTTTCTTTGCTTGTTTTTCCTTAGCACTGTCATGGTGCTGCTCAGAAGGCTGGTCACAGACTGAAGAGCCGTTGGAAGATGTGGCACTTTCACCCTTCACTTTGGAAGGTGTCTTTAGTGAGCCAAAAAACATTTGGCCCACTGCAGCCTCAATGGGAGCAAGTGGAGAAGTTGCACATCTTGTCAACATCATTTTTACCTATGAAGAACAAGGATCAAATTACAATAGAAGTTGTGATGGCTGCGCAGGTAAACAAGTTCAAAGCTAATGGGGTGCATGGCATTTTCAACTTCCTACACAAGGATGAGGCTGTGCAATCACCAACAGAAGTCTGCTCATTTCAGCTGAAATTGGGCAAAGAATGCTTTTCCTTCTGACCAACACCCTTCACACAGCTATGAAGGGGATCTACAGGGAGGTCAGAGAGGGATTTTTCCTCAGGAAATAGCAATAGGACAAGGGGGAATGGGCACAGATTGAAAGAGAGGAAATTTGAGCTGGATTATAGGAGGAAATTCTTTACAGTGAGGGTGGTGAGATACAGGTTGCCCTGAGATGTTGCTGATATCCCAACCCTGGTAATGTTCAAGACCAGGCTGGATAAAGCCTTGACAAGCCTGGCCTTGGTAGAGGAATGGAACTGGATGGTCTCTGAGGTCCCTTCCAGCCCTTAACATTGCATGACTCTATGTTTCTATGAGCTATACGCAAACAATGTGCACAAAAAAACCCTCTCTATAAGATTAATCATCCTGAGAGCAAATCACATTTAATGCCACACATTTAAGGTGAAGACCAACTTCTATGTGTAAATTTTGTGTCTTGTTCAAACACAAAAACTAAACAGAGTGGCTTTATTCCACTTAAATTAGAAGAATGGAATGTGTAATTACATTTTGAATGTACAGGTCCATAACCAGACTTTAATTAGAATTCCAGACAGCCATATTCACTCCATAATGTTCAGAGATTTAGGTGGGCACCCCTGAGGACATGTAACTTGGAATCAGGATTGAAAAAACAGCTTTTCAGATCAGGGTACTGGACAAGTTTATATTGCAACAGTTTCTACAGCTTTCAGACACATGACAAGTTTCCTAGGAGACATTATTAAGGGACTACACCAGATACACTGTTGCTTTATTAGTTTATTAGTTAAGTAGGTGCGAGTTCCTGACTGTCAGTACAACCATCAGTGTAAGGATTTAGTTACTCCAGAGCAGCTGGACAGCCAGCTCCTGTGGACACCTGCAATTTCTCCCTTCCAGAATAACATTCCTTTCCTTCTTCATTCCCAGCACCCACAGTTCAACAATGCCTTTATCATTTCAGATGGAAAATCAAGTACATAATCTTCAATTCTTGGCTCCCTAAAGTTAAATTCTGCAGAATTAAGCTGGTCAGCTCCTTCCCAGAAAGGAGACTGGAAACCACATTTCCACACATTCTCTGGTGTGTTCAACACCAGCTCTGAAGCTCTTAAAATTGCCAGATATCTGCTAACAGAGATTATATTTTCTTATAAACTAGTAATCCAGAAGAAAGGCATCATCCTGGAAATGAACAAGACTGGAGGGACTGAAGACTTCAGTAGAGAAGTAGTGTCTATTTTATTACAAAATAGTTACAGCTGCTTGAAAGTAGTTTTGGTATGCTTTCCCTTCCCACCCAAACACTTATTTTGTGAACATTTTAAATGAGAATCCAGCTGGTTTGTTTTACTGTTTTACAGACCCACTGGCCACTGCATGGGTACACACAAAAGACAGAACAGGAGAGTTTCTTTCTACAAGAATAGGCCCAGCTGGTTTGTTTTACTGTTTTACAGACCCACTGGCCACTGCATAGGTACACACAAAACATAGAGAATAGGAGAGTTTCTTTCTACGAGAATAAGCTTTTTTCTTTTTTTTTGCTTTTTTTTTTTTTTTGAGATTACAGACATACAAGCCTGGAATATCAAATACTGAATGCCAGAATTCCTGATTTTTTTCCTTTTCCTCCCTGTCCCCTGCATACACTGAACAGAATCAGTAACAGAACAGGTCTTCCATTCTGCTCATACACAGAACTCTAAACACATGACTTCAGCAGGAGCTGGCCTTCCCATCAAGCAGCATGCATTTTGACAATTAAATAAAATATTTTCTGTGATATGGTCAGTAGCAACTTTCAAGTTCTTACCTTGAAGACAACAAGAAAGATGGTGTAAAAAAACACAAGGTTGTGTTTTGCTATTGGCAAGTACTGTCTGCGTTGCAGGGTGAAAAGAACTGCTCCTATCAAAGTTACCTTCACAGGGCTAGAAATCAAACAAAGAATGTTAATTTCTCTTCTCTGCTCTACAGTGCAAGCTACCTGGAAAGCAATACATGTTCTTAGGCGTGCAAAATAATTATTTCTGAATGGAACTAATGAAAACTTGTAGTAATAGTGGTAAGATCCAAAATCCAGCTATAATTAAATTAAGATTTTCACTTTATATACTAATACTACGCTTTCAAGTCCAGCACTACTTTGCACACCCAGAAAACTATGTGACAAACACTCCTCAAAAAAATGCTTCTATTCAGACTTTATACACGATCTTGTTTTTCTTCTTCTTCTCCCAATATATCTTGAAGAGTTAAATTACAGAGCTCACACTACTTGGACTACACATAAAAACAGGTTCTTATACTCCAGGAGACAGTTACTCCAAGGAGCTGCTTAAGGTGTGGAAGAGTAACACAGTCCAAATCCTGGTCCACTGTAACACCCCAGCAGCTCTGGGACTGCCATCAGCTTAAACCTGACTGGAGCCAGGCCTGAATTACCAGGTTTTGTCAACACAGCTGTGCTGGCCTGAGACATGCAAAGATTTCCAATCTATTTCCAGCTTACAGCAATCTTTGTTGTGGTACTAAATCCCCTCCTAGGAATGCAGATAGAAAGCAAGAGATCTTTGGTCAGTTATCCAGAATTCTGTGTATTTCTTAATCTGCATGTGACATGTACAGGTGACATTCCTGTATTCACAGAGCATCTGTTGTGGATCTGCTCTTCTCTGTCTTTTCAGGAACCAAAAAAAGTACATCAAATTCCTGCTCAAGAAGCCCAAAAAACGACCCTGTGTACACAGGCATCTCATCCATTTGCAAGATGTTGGATGCTTTTAACTCTGTAACTTAGTTCAATTTAATGCTCTTAACACTTATACATAAACAAAACTTTTGAAATATTTTTTGAGTTACTTTGAGCCATACCCACAGTGGAGAAGGAGAATATATGCAAGCGATGCCAATCAGTAAGCATTGTTCTGGTGTTGCACCTCTAAAGACAGTTTTACTTGTGTCTACAGTGTTATTTTTGACACTCACTTTTTCTTCTGGAAGTTTACTTTCAAGACTGCCATTTAGGCACTGACAAGAGGAAGAGAAATTCTAAATACTTAGAATTTCAGAAAAAGCCAGCAACTAACACAATCCGCAAAAAGTTGAAATATTGCCAAAGAGAAGGCTACAAATGTCTCTCCTGTTATTCTGTGTCTAGGAGTAGCTGCTGAAAAGCAAGATAGCTTTTTTTAAAAAATAAAATTATTATTTTTAAAGACCTGACTGTAACCTGGGAAAGATCAAAAGAATTTTAGGAAATTATCACAGTGACCTTATCTTGACTTACAATAATAGCTTGTGGCTTTCCAGCCTGTTTCAATTCTCATTTTACAGAGAAAACCAGGAGGCATGTAATATTCCTCATTCTTTGCTTCTGCAAGAGAAGTAACTTTTCCCATCTTGCAGGTCATTTCTGCTATACTGAATAACCAATTTGTACCTTCTCAAATAATTGATGTCTTTGGAGGAAAATAGCACTGGCAGCAAAAGTAAGAGTGACAGTGTTCAAAGGAAGCCATCTTAGTGATGCTCAGAACATACACCAAAATTCACTTGTGTATTTCTGGTACCACTGTGCTTTCATTTTGGACAGAAGACCATGTCCCTGTAAGACAAACTGAGCCAATACTGCTTTCTAGCAAACCCCCACAAGGTCTTTACTACTTTCTGACAAGTTTTGTTGACTTCTTCCCATTTGCAGCTCTTGGGCTGTGAACATAAAATGATTAAAATATCTTCTAAAAGTCCCAAAGTTCATTGTCCCATCTTTCAAAGGATACACACCAAAACAGAGTACAAATATGTCCTAATGGATTTTTTGGGGGGGTTTTCTTTTGTTTCAACCACTGAAAGTAAGCATCCACACTAAGAGCCAGCAAAACAACAGCTAACTCATTGCAGTTTTTTTTTTTTAAAAACTTACTAGGACATCTGCAGGAGCTCATTGGTTTCAGGTTTCCACACTCCTCTCACCAGCTGCTCAAAGTTGGAAATTAAGCCACCACCAGCACCTGAAATTGCAGAGATTTATGGCAAGTTTCCACTGACTGCTACCACTACTATGCCATTGCTCCCAGAAAAACTCATGACACCAGGTGCTAAATGTGGCACCAAAGCCCAGACTTAAAAAGGTTTAATCCAACCTCTCATGCAAACAAGACTCAAACGATGGCCACAAAACCTCAGAGGCTGAGATACTCAGCAAGAAGCTCAGGTCTGTAAGTGACAGATCTGAACTGGTGCAATCATCACATTCACACGTGTTGCTTTCCACATTAGCACAGAAGCAAGCAGAAACAAGAGCTGCACAACTCCTTTCTGAAGTGACCCTGATGGTGTGGCTGCAAATACAGCTGTCAGGCAGGTGGCTTCCAGAATTCCAAATGGCAGGCAGGCAACAAGGGTTATCCCTACGTTTAAAACCAAGTAATGGTTACAACTCCAAAACCTAAGATATCCAGCTCTCTTCTTCTGCCTCATGCAAGGGCACAGCTCTGCTGTTGGAAAGTTCAGCAACAGCCACACAGAAGATTTACTTCTTTATTGTCATTAACTGCCCATCCTGCAAGCTCTCATAAGACCTTCTGAAGGGAACTCCCCTCAAAGTCCTTCAATGTCACCCTTAATTCAGGCAGAAAATCTGCAGCACAGGCTTTTTCCTTCAGGAGACATCAAATGCATCAGGACTACAACGCCCAGCAGAGCAAGGATGGTGCTACAGCTCTGCTGAGGGGCTAGACATTTAAACACCGCCCCAAAAAACCCCAAACCCTCAGAAAAAGATGCTGTGCATGTTACCTCTGGCCCAGCCCACAGCCACCATGACAAGGCAGGCATCTTTGTAGACAGTGTCTGCATGTGCAATGCCATCTGTGATCTTCCAAGTCCTTGTCACTTCTTTCATTCCTGCCACCAGAAGACGAAGAGGCAGAAAGGAAAAGCAGCGGCAGAATAGGTCTTCTGGGCAGTAAAACACTAGGTACCTGAAAGTCATCAGGAAACAAAACATTAGCCACGTTTTCATAATCTTTAAAGATATTTTTGGAGTACAACTAGCAATGCCTGATATACTACTGACAACTCAAAGTCTTGAACATCTTGGAACAAATTTGAAAAGCTTCTGAGCACGCCTGAGCTTTTGCACCAAAACCAAACATTACCTGCTCACTGTCACAGAGAAGAATCTGCTGAAGTCCATCTGAAACAGCTTTACATTCTTCCAATTGTTCTATACCTTATATATGACATTTCTATAACTCAAGTCATGAAAGTGGTATCTGATTGACTTTGTGTGGTTTGAGTTTATTGGTGAGTTATTTTTTGTTTAGTTCAGTGTAGGGGGTTGTTTTGTTTTGGGTTTTTGTTTGGGTTTTTTTTTTTAATAGGATTACTACGGGGTGGTAAATTAAATGCTGACTCTGTGCTTCCAGACTGTAGGTACCTGGAATTATGTAACTTCAGCAAGAATGCCTCCACTAGTTAATGTCATACTAGATGAAATGCGTGGCTATTTTTAAACATATTTAACATCTTAGTACTCACCAATTCTAGCTTTTCCAGCTTTCCAATTACAATCACATTTCTATATTCAAAGCATTGAAATAACACTACAAAAAATATCTTTGATCAACTTGCTTTTAAAACCAAATAAAGATGGCTAACAGTTAAATCCTAAGTGACAGAAAATTTTAAAATATTAGATTATGTAGTGTTCTATTATATGTCTTCAATAATAAATAAAATTCAGTTCTTACTGAGACATTCACAAAAACCCAATCAAGATTAAGTATCTTGATTAAGTTATCTTAAGTAGATTATTTCAGCACAGGAGTAAGAGTAGTAATTGCATAAGAGCAGAGGAAGTGTTTGAAAACAAGGATAAATTTTGTTTTATTAAAAAAAACCAAAACACTGCCCCTTGCTTTAAGGCTTTTGATCTCAATCCTGCCTATCAAGAATTTCTGAGGCCCTTCCCTTTATCTCTTACTGTAAAGTCAGATGCCTCTCTATGCAACCAGGCTTCAATCAAGCCAAAGATGTGGAGAGAGGATGTATTTTACAGACTACGGCAAAAAGCCATTTAAGCCGCCTACTACTCACCAGACAACTCACACCAGAATCAACTCAGATCTGCAGAACGTGGGTTTAGGACCCTGAAGCACGGGTGACAGGACTGGCGCTGGCACTGAAGGGCCACCACGGCACTCCTGCCTGTAATCTCTGCTGACAGTAGATGCCGCTGTCCTACAGACTATTTAGGAGCATTCCTCAAGCCCAGCACGACTCCACTCACTCTCCAGTCCCAAGTGTGGCTTGAGGAATTCCGTTTTGCATGATCTGGGGCCAGGAATTAAGGTCATTACACTCAGGAAGAGTGGACTTTGTAAAGCTGGAAGCTTAAAACGTTTTGTAACGTTCACAGCTTCTCACTAAAACCTTTACTTTGTGCAAGCAAATCACATTGGATCACGGTGAGTTAAACAGAAATCCTGCTCTCCTCAGGTGTACTCCTAGCTCGTGTCACTTGATGAAACAAGCAATCAATCTGCCCACATCAGACTAACACAACCACAGGCAGGTTCTGTTAATAATTCACCAATAATACATATTATTAATTTCACCAGATTAAATATGTCATCTTCTACTGTAACACAAAGGCCACAAAACTAATACATATACCCAGACAGATAGAAACACTTGATTTCATTTCAATGAATTTGCAATTGTAAAACTTATGGGAAAAGTGGAACTAAAGGACTTTAAGCAGGCCAGACTATCTAAATACAGTGATTGAGATTTATAAATTCAAAACCCCACTGCTACTCATGATTTTTGGTAAGTTTGAAGTTTTCTTCAAAGATCACTTTCTGGAACAAATGAACTCCACTGGAAGACCACATTTATATGAAAATAACTCCAGAATGTCTTTTTAACTCCAAAGCAGGCCAAAATGCCTAATACATTATTCAATCATACTATTCAGATAGCTACTGTCTTCTACCACAACACCTGCCCATCTGGGAAGGAATGAAATACAAAAAAAAAATGTGTCTGGAAGTAGGAACTGGAGGAAAGATGTGTCTTGGAACCTCAGTTACAGGAAAAAACAAAATTTTTACATCAGCCAGGTTCTGGTCTTCAAGAGCTACCTTTTAAAAACTTGACTGCATATGAGATGAACATACCTATGTTCAGTAAATCAGCAATTGAATAACTTTATTAAAAGGTCATGTTTGCAGCTGTTTGACCAGGAATATTACAAAAATCTAAGGCAAGTCTGATCTAGCAATAGAGCATTTGGTTAAACAACAGGCTGTAAGAGTTGCTCTCTGTTCCCAGAGAACAAAGCTGCTGTGACACTCTGGATGACAGCATCCAAATCCACAACACTTTCAAGCAAAAATTCTGATTTACATGGAACCTTGATGGTACAGTATCAATTTACAGCATACAGCTTCCTCAGAGCCAGTATCACCCATTTTACTCAATTGTGGCTGCTTACCAGACTGAGGATGCCAGTAGAATATTTATGGTCTTTGCCAGAAATGCTACTGGAGGTTCACCAAGCATCAACGAAGACAAAACTGAGCCCCCAAAGCAATAAAGCATTGCACTAAACCAGCACGCCAAGGGACTTCGGACCGACACTTCCACAACTCCTGTGGGGGAAAAAAAAAAAGCATAAACAGAAATGAAAACTGGAGAAATAACATCATGTTTTAAAGGTCAGTATTTTTCAATTTAGTTCCTTTGGGTAATGAAAAATCCTCCAGCAATCAGCAGGCTCTCAGAGGAAAATTTTCCAGAAATGCAAACCTCAGGGTACGGTGACTTTAACTTACACTCCTAAACAGAAGTTTAGGCTGACACAAAGTGTTCTCTAAATATCTTTTGTGCATTAGTTTGTTATATCTAGGTACCAAGAAGAAAAAGCTTTCAGAGCATAGCAGTGAGGTCTTGCTGTTAACAGCCTGACACAGGGACACACTTGCTTTCAAATTTGTATTAAAAACACCTAAGTGGCTAATCTAAACAGGATTGCTGACATTTGGAGGGTTATTCTAGGAATTCCATTTCTGCTTTTGAGTGTTCCAAGAACTCAAGGTAACTGTTTTCCCTTCTTTTCTCACAATATTCTGCTGTGATTTCTGGCCAAAATGAAAACAGCATCCAGGATAATTATCTAATCGTTTTCAACTGCACTCTTGAACAGAGGAAAAAAGGTTACCTTGAACTACAATAATAAATGTAAATTTCCCTCATTATTAAAAAGGTTGACAGTTTGGTTTACTTCATCATCTTTAAAATTAAGTATCATTTTAAAATGCAAGTTAACTATGCCTAAAAGAGCACTTAATACTAAAAGCTTACACTGGAGGTAATGGGAAGTATTAACCCTTTTCAGAGGACAACAACATTTTACCAAAGCTAGAAATATTGTCAAGTAGCTGTTTTGACTATTTCCTTCCACTTTAAAAGTTCAGTGCTGCCAAAGCCTCCCCTTTACACTGGTTCTGAGCTGTTTGCCTGAACAAGTTTAATTTTCCGTAGTCCAAAGGCTGAAGTACACAAAAGCACTACTGTCTGCCCCAAAATGAAATTTGACATCTGTTCCCAATTCAGAGTAGAAGCTTTGGTTTATCAGGCATTTCTGTGGGAAAAGAAGCTTCTACCCAAAATGAGAGGCTCAAACATTTAAAAAAGCATACAGCACTCTCAATCCATTCAATGTATTAACAAGACTGTTCCAGTTTTAGTGCTGGCATAGATATCAAGTACTGCAGCACTATCAAAATGCCCATAAAACGGCCAATTTATAAAAATGAGCACTCCTAAGCAATACAGAATACTTGAATATAACACAACATCTCTTTTGTCTTCAACTATTTTGTAATTTATTTTTCAAACTGCAGTACCTAGTGCTCCAAGTAAGACACTTGCAAATTATTAATGGCTTGTGTTTACTACTTTTGGAGTAGGTTTAAAATTAGGTATCTGTTCTCTCTTCAGATCTACTCTCCTACAATCACCAGCTTCTCCACACTTCCTTTGCCCCACAACTTAGATTTTCAGTTTTGAGGGCAAAGTGGTTTTCAGTTTTGAGGGCACATCCAGTCTGCCCTCTACCAGTAAGCTCCACAAAAATGCAGGTAAATTTCTTCATTTTACATGTAAAAAGTCATGAAAGTGGAACCTCTATTGCACTTCAAGATTCTTCTGTTGGTCAGCACTAGAAATGGCTCAAATGCCAGTTTTTAACAATTCATACCTGCTTCCCAAAAAGGAATATACACAATACAGAAGACAATGAGACAAAAAAAGTTGAAACTAATTTAAAGATCATCTCAGCATTGCTACCTAAATTATTACTAGGGTATAGCCTTTCAGAGGACAAATTCAGTTTTAAGTAGGTCACATGTCTTTGTACAAAGTGGTCATTTATATTTGTCCTCTGATGCATCCTCTAAAATTAATGAGGCATCACGCAACCACGCAATGGTGGATCTGCCAGAAGCCACCAGCCCTGCAGATGTACACTTCAGAAAGGAAAGGTTTCAAAACACAAGGACTGATTCTGAATATGGTTTTAAGAATGGTTCCTGAACAACAGTAACATAAAAAAACAAACAAAAACAAACAAACAAAAAAAACCAAACAAACAAACAAAAAACACACACCAAAAAAAAAATCAAAGGGGGAAAAAAAACCCACAAAATCCCCAAACCCAAACAACATAAAACAAAAAACAAACAAAAACCAAAACACACACTAACTAACAAACAAACCCCTTACCAACTATTTCTGTCAATAGGATTATATTTGCTTTATTTTTTTTCTGCATGTTCCAAATAAGCAGTAATGCAGACTAAACACACATCCAGTGAGGAAACCAGGTGGGTTTGCACAAGTTTCTTCCAGCACCCCGTTCAACCACACAGAATATCATTAGTTAAGATAAGGGATTTGTAGAGTCAGACTTAACAGAGCTAAATTATGCTGAAGAAATTATTTCTCAAATCACCTGAAACACATCAGGAACTAATGTCAGGAACAAACCAAATATGACCCATCCTCAACCATCAACACCTTTTGCTGTCCCTCCATCCCAAAACAAAGAGAATTTCCAGTTTTACAACTGGCTGGAGCTACAAGCAAGCAACTCCTAAGCCATCCCAAAAGCACTAATGAAGAACTCTTCTTTTAAAACACACAGAAAGCAACAAGCTGGTTGTCACTGCTGTAGTTTGCCAGTCACAAGTGAGCAAGAAAGCCTGGCTAGGAGGATTGGAAAAGTCCCAGTTAGTGTGCACCCATCCATGATCCAAACGCCCACACTGAATCTGATTTTAAGCAGTGGGGGTGGGTTGGTATTTTAATGAGACAGTAATCTGGGATAAAATAAATGTGGCTGTAACTTGACCACATATTGCTGACATCACCAGGCACTCAAGGCTACCCTGCCATTTCCCTGTCAAATTTAGCTACTGTTGTAAGTTTCCAAGAAGAACATAAAGCCTAGACAGCATTAATCCACAATAATATAGCTATATTATGCATTCATAATAACTGCTATTTCAGTTATGATTTAATACTCAGTTCAAACCACTTGGGAAGGGAGAAACAGGCCAGCAGGCAGTCACCTGGATTACAGTTATTAATTCCAATTATTAGAAAATACTCAGGAGTTCTGAACTACCAGCTATTAAGCTGAGAAGGAAAAAAAAATAAATAAAATAGGAGCATGGATCTGACCAGACTTCTGATAGCAATTTTACTTTCCATAAGTGTTGTCTCACTAAAACTACGCAGAGAGGCCTCTCATCCTCATCTTTAGGTGTGCCCACTCCAGAGGAAAAGTTAAAGGTGTTGCATGATAATGTCAGAAAGTCCCTTTCTAAATGGACCTGTTAAAAAGTTTAGCAGCATTAACAAAGTTTGGTGAAGATTCTAGAATGCATAAGCACTTCACACCAGTCTTCACAGTCTGTTAAGTGCATTTCCTCAGCAGACAGCCAAAATTCACCTCGGAACACATAGGAAGGGACCAAATAAGCTCTCACTGAATGAGCAGTGCAGAGCTCTAGAAATCTGAGGCAAGCAGCAGCTCCCAAATTTGCACTACAATCCCAAAAGCCAGCTCAGTTTCCTACACAGTTATCACCTGGGATGCACAATTACTGCAAACGTGTCTAAACACACACCACACGTTAGCTTAGTTGTAAAGACTGAAAGAAGGCCAGCGTCTTCTCACTGAATGAACAGTGCAGAGCCCTAGAAATCTGAGGCAAGCAGCAGCTCCCAAATTTGCACTACAATCCCAAAAGCCAGCTCAGTTTCCTACACAGTTATCACCTGGGACGCACAATTACTGCAAACGTGTCTAAACACACACCACACGTTAGCTTAATTGTAAAGACTGAAAGAAGGCCAGTGTCTACATTTGTGACAGCAAAAAAAAAAAAAATAAAAAAAAAAAAAAAAAAACCCAAAAAAACCCAAAAAAACCCAAAAACACACCAAAAAAAGAAACAAAAAAAAAAAAAACCAAAACAAAAACACACAAAAAAAAAAAAAATAAAAAAAAAAAAAAAAAAACCAAAAAAAAAAGAAACAAAAAAAACCAAACACACACACACACACAAAAAAAAAAAAAATTAAAAAAAATAAAAAACACACCAAAAAAAAAAGAAACAAAAAAAACCAAACACACACCCACACACAAAAAAAAAAAATTTAAAAAAAATAAAAAGCACACCAAAAAAAAAGACAACCCAACAAACAGGTTTGGGGTTAACAGCCACAGTGTAAATGATTATCTGGAAGAGAGCATGCAGACTGAAGTGCCATGATGTCCTGTCGTACAAAACCTTGCTAGTGGAAGCGGAAAGCTTTGCTAAATTCACTTTACAATCTACGGGGGTACAACGCTGACAAGCCACGGGCACAGGACCTACCCAGGAAAACCCTGAGCTGTTTCCTACAAGGCAGAAAGGCCTTAACACCCTAAAAAAGGCGTGTGAAGGATGTGAACCCCAGTTAATCTCCCCTCTCAGATGCAATTCTGGGCAGAGAGAGATATCGGCCTGTGTTACACACCCATCAACCCAACCTCCAGGGCCCTCAGCCCTTTCCCTCCAGACCTCAAAACCGCAACAAACAAACTACCGAATAAAAAACCCGAGGGGGTTTCCAGCTAAACTCTTGGCTTATTTCTCCTCTTAAGTTCTGGAGAGCCAGAAAAGCTTGGCTGGGTGAATCCTGCGGGCAGGCAGACAAGGCTTTACGGAGGGGCCGTGGGGCATTCCCGGCACGGCGGCTCCACACGGGGGAACACCGGGATCGGCACGGGGGTCTCTGTGGGGTGTCCGCCCCGTCCCGCCTCGCCCCGCTCACCCCGCTGCTCCTTCAGCGCCACCACGGAGGCGACATAATGCGCCAGGTCGAAGAAAGGGAACATGCGGAGGCGGGAGAAGCTCAGCGGCACCTGCCAGAGCTCCATGGCCGGGCACGGAGCTCCCGGAGCGGCCGCCCGGCACGGCGGAGCGCGGAGGACGCGGCTTGGCCGCTGCCGGCCGCCGTCAGCGTGAGGCGGGGCGGGCGCGGCGCCTCACGGGGCCGTCCCTCCCTCAGCCCCGCGGCTGGGCGCTGCCAGGTGCCTTTTGTTTGCCTTTTTTTGGTCAAAATGCTGATAAGTCCTGCTCCGGGCGCAGTGCGAGGTCGGTTGTGGCCTCCCTCAGAGCCGCTGCTGCGCTTGTGGTGTTTAGCTGCACCTACCCTGATACACTCTGTTTTTCTTTCCTGTTACATATTTCTGAAGCCCATCAAGAATATTCAGCCTTACCAGCATGTACGCTCGGTTCCGCGTGTGGTCATCCTTCTTTGTTTTTTTTTTCTTTGTTCATCACTTACTGAGGGTATTAATGTACGCGAGATGCTGCCGGAGCTCAGCAGGAGCGCTTTAATGCATCTTTACATCCATTTTCATCGTTTTCTGCCTTCTTAAAGATCTGTGCCCGTGTTGCGCCAATCCCACAGTATTTTCAGCAAAGCTAGTTTGCTCTTGAGCTGCCCAAGTGAAACATTTTGAAAGATCTGCTAACTCCAATATACGTGGCATTTGCTTTTTGTTTGTTCACCAGCCTCGGAGGATCTGAAGGAAATTAATGTAGTATGATGTTTGGGGTTGGAGGGGACATAAAGCTCAGTCATAGGGACACCTTCCACAATCCCAGGTTTCTCTGAGCTCCATCCAGCCTGGCCTTGGACTTTTCCATGGATCCAGGGGCAGCCACAGCCTCTGTGGGTGTCCTGTGCCAGGGTCTCACCACCCTCACAGGGAAGAATTTCTTCCTCATATCTTATTTAGATCTATTCTCTTTCAGTATGAAACCATTCCCCCCCTTGTCCTCTCACTTCATGCCCTTTTAAACAGTCTCTCCGTCTTTATGAAACTCCATTCAGTTTATTAATTTGTGAATTTTTTGGCTGGTTTTCCCCACTAAATTTTCCCCGAGCTGTTTCTGTCTTTTCCATTCGGCTTCCACGTGCTGGTGAAAAGAACTCTTAAAGGCTCTAAGTTTTGCATGAAGTTAAGCAAAGCAGTCTGAAAATGTGCACCTTTCACAGGTGGTCTTAACTCGTTCTTTGCCTACCAAGAACTAATTTCAGGAAATAACTGAAATTATAGAATCATTCTGGGGAAAAGGTTTATGCCTCTCAACACAGAAAACACTTGAATTTTTCCCAGAATAATTTCAGCTTGCTATGAATAGCGAGCTGTTATTTTCATTGATTTGCCTTCTATCAGTACCATTTCATGGAATAAATTCCTATTCTCTGTGTCTTCCTTTCTGTGCTTCCAGTGACTCATTTTCTCCCTGAGGATTGACCCATGTGCATGCAGCCCATTTCTATTTCCTGGCCATTTCCATCTCCTTTTCATCTACATGAACAGATCCTAATTTAGTCAAAGTGATCTCTTCCTAGCCTTGCCATTAACAAATCTAATTCTTATTTTCTGTCGTGCTTGTGTGCAGTCTCAGAAACCAGGGTGTGTTTTCTAGAGCAGATTATCGACTTGCCCCGGCTTACAGGTAATGGGACATAATGCATTAAGCTGCATTCTGTAGCGGGAGTGAGTTCAGGATAATTTTGTTTCCCCCTGAGCGAGGCTCTGTGCAGCCGCGGAGCTACTGGCGGGATTTAAAACGATGTAATCTCTCTCACTCCTTGCAGTACTGGTTTATCCCCACCGAGCGGCATGTGTTTCGTTGCTAGGAGGTGAAAACTGCTCAGGCTATCTCGTTTGTGATCGTAGGAGAGGCAGGGAAATGAAAATGGCAGTGACCGCAAGGAACCCACAGTGACGCAAAAAACCCCAAAAAAGTCGCAGTTTGGGCCAGCAACATCTGCACTGCAGCCACCTCTGTGCCTGCAACTTGCGTAGAGATACCCAAATTCTTTAACTCTGCTGGTACTATTTTTCAGCAGATCAGCAATACCTGCCTGAACTTTCAATTTTTAGTGAGGTCCTCAAATACATGATACTGCACTGTCACTGCACCTGAAGTGTTGCTCTCCAAAGCAGAGTTGTGCTGGTTTGGGCTGGGGTAGAGTTAATTTCCTTCCCCGAGGCTGGTGTGGGGCTGTGGTTTGGATCTGTGCTGAGCTCAAGGGGATGATACCAGAGATGTTTTTGTTACTGCTGATTGAACAGAGCCAAGGACTTTGCCCTTCCTCAAGATGAGGAGCCCCAGCTGGGACAGGTGACCCCAGCTGAGCCCGGGGATGTTCCAGACCGTGAGACATCATGTTCAGTGTATAAAGTGGGAGGGAAAGGAAGGGGGGACATTTGGAGTGGTGGAATTTGTCCTCCCAAGTTTCTGTGTGATGGGACCCTGCTCTGCTGGGAATGGCTGAACACCTGCCCAGTCAGGGGGAGCAGGGAATTAATTCCTCTTTTTGCTTTGCTTTTTGCTCCCCTTATTAAACTGTCATTATCTCAGCCTGTGAACTTTTACCCTGCCAATTCTCTCCCCAGTGAGAGGGTGGCTGCCTGGGGCTGGGCTGGTGGCTGGGGTTAAACAACACAGAGGTGGCTGGTGTGAGGGTGGATCTCATAGCAGTGAGGTGGCAAAGCATGTTAACCACCACAGTTTAAACAAGAAAGACATTTTGATGAGTTTTCTACAGCTCCAGCAGAAAAAAAGAACAGCAGTTTATCTAAGACTGCTGGTGAGCAGGGAGAGATTCCTGTGTGTTCAGGGTGGCATCTTAGCATAGATGAAATCAGACCACGGAACACAGTCTGCGTAATAAAAGTAGAGTAACAAATAAGAAAACTTAAAATCTGATCAATTTCCAGCTGTCCCGGATATCTCAGCAATAATTTAAAGACAGCAGGGGATAAAACACCTGAAGTAATCCTGCTCATCCTTGAGCTGAGTGTACAGATACAGAGAGAACCGTGTCAGTGTGAGCTGATGGTATTAGTGTGTAAGCTAGGTGGACCTGTGTGTGTGAAAAACAATTTTTTGTGTTTTTCTGGTTTTAAACTGGAAGAACAGATGCCCCTTTCTTCATAAATTGGGAGCTGGCTAATAGTGAGACCTGAGCAGCACAGTGTGCATATAAGAATTTTAAAGACAGATTGTTCTGTTGTATGAGTGGAAAGCTCAATGTGAAATCAAAGCACAAGCTTGAACTGACTCTCTTGCCCAGTGAATGTTATCCTGACCTTAAAAAACCCCACTGTAAACACCTGCTGAGTAGTTACCCAACTTGCACATTCTCCAGAGTGCCCAGTGAATGTTATCCTGACCTTAAAAAACCCCACTGTAAACACTGCTGAATAGTTACCCAACTTGCACATTCTTCTTAGTACTTTTCAGCAGGGTTATGCTAATTTTTGTGTTTGAAAAAAAAGGTCTGTGTACTTAGTATGGAAGTATAGCTGGTGAAGTTGCTGCTTAATGCAGGATATATTTATTTAGTATTTTATTTTGTAATGTCTGTTGGGGCCCTATAGGAAATGGCCTGGAGTTCAAAAATAGTGCCTTAGGGAGAAAAAAAGGAGGAGAACTTATTCAATATATTTCATCAATATGCCTCAAAACTTTTCTTCTCCAAATCAGGAAATTAGAAATAATCTCTTTTTATGAATTATTAGGTATTTTTGTCTTCTAAGAAGATCTCTCAAACTCAAGTCTGTTCATCAAAATCAAGTCGGATGAAAGTAGTAATCTTTGTCACAATATGGAAGTGGACATTTCCACTGTCTGCTCTCAGCCCACCACATTTGTCATTATTAGCCATGTGCCACACTGCTGTCTTCTCCTTCCAAACAAATTCTCATTCTGCTCCACAGTTTTCTGCCTTGTTTTCCAACAGTTTTTTTTATCCCCATCAAGCTGCTTACTTTGATCTTCTAGAACATTTTCCTGTTTCCTGTCTCACCAGCACCATAAAGTCATCATTTCTTTCAGTGTCACTCCCCACAGCTCGCCTGATTTTCTTGCTTTCTCCATGGCATCCTCAGCATTTATTCATGGCTTATTACACCTGTCAGTCTGCTGTTTTTCTCCGAGAATCTGGCTGTTCATTCCACTTTTGTCACCTTACTTGTGGATGCCTTCAGTCATAACTCATAAACTCAGGCCCCGCCTTTACCTTTCTGCATCTTCCAGCTTCATCTGTAACTCTGGTTACCCTCCTTCTTTTCCACTTTTCCTACAGAAGGTCAGGTCCTGTGTCCTTGCAGATTTTCTGGAGGGAAAAAAAAAAATTGAGAAAATAAATCATAGCAAGATCAGAGGGCCAAGTTTCTCCTTACATAACATTACTCTGGTTTGTTTTCTTTGCATGCTGGTTAATGCCAATCTAAATTGGAAAGTGCAGAAATAATGTTGGTTTGTTTTGGGGTTTTTTTTTTTTTTTTTTTTTAACTGAGCAGTGGTGTTGTTTGACTTACATCCACCTCAGATCCATCCTCTCTCACACGAGATTAGGTTCTCACTATTTATTTAAGGTATTTAAGGTATTTAAGGATCCATTTAAAATTTCTCTTCTCCTGCAGCCTTTGAAGCAGAAACACTGTGTTTTTTCCTAGGACTGTTTTACCTTTTTAAACCTAGGACTGTAGCAATTGTAATCAGTTCTACTGGCCCTATCCAAGAGGTCCGTGGTGTGTACCCTTAGGTCATGGACACACAAGTATGCAAAAGTGTGTTCTCCAGGCTTTGGATGTATACATAAAGGATTTGTATGGCTGTAAAAGAAGTACTCCAGTATTTGGTGTCTTTATTGCAGTAGTAAACTCTGTCATGACTTCACATAGAGTTTAATTCAGGTTAAAAAAAAATTAGATCTTGGCTGCTAGGTCTCTCTTTAGCATATTTTGTTCCTTTACAATATTCTTTCTGAAAGGAGCTGATTTATAGGGTAGATTTTAACTCTTATTACCTTGTTTGTTTCTCTGCTGCATCATTAGACATCACACTTGCTGATTAGTTGGTGGGAC